TTTTTTTTTTTGAAAAAAAAAAATAAATCCGAATAATTTTTCTTTTTTTTCTCAAAAGCAAACCAAGACAATAATTCAAAAAAATATTTGCTGGTTATGGAATATGCCAATAGTGATACTCTCCGAAATTATTTAAGTGAACATTTTGATAATCTCACTTGGAACAATAAATTGGATCTAGCATTTCAATTAGCTAATGCTATATCATGCTTACATGATGAAGATATCGTTCATCATGATTTGGTAGGTTAATTACTTCAGTTATTTACACTTTAATAAATTATACTGTTTATACTGTATAATTATACTAATTTAGTCATTGCATTTAATAATAGCACTCAAATAATATATTAGTTCATAAGAATACCATTAAATTAGCAGATTTTGGATTGTCAAAAAGGATTGAGGAATCATCCAATGTTCAATCAAAATTATTTGGAATGGTTGCATATGTTGATCCACAAGTATTTAATAGCAAAAGGGATAATAATATCAAAATAGTATATTCATTAAATAAAAAGAGTGACATCTACAGTATTGGCATACTCTTGTGGGAAATTTCTAGTGGACGGCCACCTTTTCATAATAAACCACATGATGATGTTGGTTTGGCTATGGAAATTTTACAAGGTCTTAGAGAAAAACCTATTCCTAATACACCTGTAGATTACATAAAAATATACACTGGTAAGTACAATTAAATTAATTATATTAATAATGACAATATTGATTAATTATAAGCTTATTTATATCAGATTGCTGGAATAATGAACCAGATAATCGTCCAACTGTCAACCAGGTTATTGCAAAATTAAATGAAATTATTTCAAAAGAAAATGTTCAATTATCAAGTGAACAGAAGAGTAATGATAAAGTTCCCAAAAATATTATTGATAATTTATTATACGGAGAAATGTCTCAAATCATTAAAAATTTTAATAAAATGAGTATAGAAGAAATAGAACCTTCAATGTCATCAATCAATAACTTTGATATAATGGTTAATGAAATAATACTCCTTCTTGATAATACAAAAATTGTGAGGAAAAAACATGAAGTCATTAATTATCTTAATAATCATAATATAACTTCACAAGAAATTTATGCTTGGTTATTAAATAATCAAAATAATTCAAATTCTGTTTTTTTACTTGGAATATTTAATCACTTTGGAATTGAAGTTAATGTTAATGAACAAAAGGCATTTGAGTTATACCAAAATGTAGCGAATTTGGGAAATGTATTTGGGATAACTAGTTCAGGATATTGTTATAATTATGGAATTGGAACCAGTGTTGATAATAAGAAAGCGTTTGAACTATATCAAGAAGCTGCAAATTTAGGAAATTCACGTGGAATATATAATTTAGGATATTGTTATAGTAATGGAATTGGAACTAATATTGACAATCAAAAGGCATTTGAATTATATCAAAAGGCTGCAAATTTAGGACTTTTATCTGGAATATACAATTTAGGATATTGTTATGAAAAAGGAATTGGAACTAATATTGATAAACAAAAGGCATTTGAATTATATCAAAAGGCTGCATATTTAGGTGAAAGTTATGCTCAATATAATCTTGCTTTAATGTATGAAAATGGAGAGGTAATTAAAAAGAATATGAATCAAGCAACTTATTGGTATGAAAAATCTGCTGAACAAGGAAATCAATATGCTCAAGACAGATTAAATGAATTAAAGAAACATGAATAGGATTTTTTGTATAATTTATTGACTTTATTTAATAAATTCTGTTACGAATTACTTTTTTTTTTAATTATATTAGTATGGGATAAAAATGATTTGGTACAACTCCGACTCATAACTCTCCAAAATCCAAAAAAATTCGTAATACTCCAAAACTCATAATACTAAGATTTTAAACTATAAATCTGAAACTCACATATCTTGAAATACCATAATTCTGGTATTTGATAGTTGCAAAATACATAAATCTATTCCCAAAAATTTTAATATTTCACTAATAAAAATTGTAAATTTTTATATTGTATGCTTTTGCTTTAATTAATTGATTTATTGTAATATTTATTAATTTTAAACTTATAATTTTACCTTATTTATTAATTATAAAATATAAACAATATTGTGGGTGTGGAAAATAAAACAGACTAAACTATATATGAAAAAATGTCAATTTATAAAAACCTAAATATGTAAGATAATAATTGCTCTGATATAGAAATATTAGGAAAATTTTTTTCAAGTTACATTAATTATAAAAAATATACTAAATAGTTAATGGATAGGGAAGTAGCTAGCAACAAATCACTGGATGTGCCGCAGTGGCACATTTTCATCTATTATCTGGGGCCATATTATTTGTTAGACCGACCCTATAAAAAAAGTTGTCCAAACACTGTTCGGTTTTTTGTTCAGAAAATTGACCCCGTTCCGAACATTTACTTGACATATATTGGACAATTATCATGATATTGTACGTTTTTTATGTGGTCGAAAATTCTCAATCTCTGCATCTTGTACTAAATGGTAACAAATATTGTATAATAACGTGCGAGCGTTCGGAAAATCGACCCCATTCCGAATATTTATCAGACAAACATTTTTTATAGGGCGATATAGCTTCCTATCCAATAAGTGTAAGGTTTATTAACGATATGGTTAATTATCTAAAATAATCATAATGATATTAATGATATTTTATATTATTAGTTATCTATAACAATCAGCATGGAAATATTTTATATTCACAATGTATAATTGGATTTCATGTTGCCTGCTAAATAGTATATATGAAAACCTTATGAAAGCGGTAATTCAGATCCAATATAACGAACAAAATTTAACGTTAAAAAACAAAAAAAAAAAAATTTAACGAAAACAAATAAATACTCTATAAACATAAAAATAATATTCAGATGTCAACTGGTATGATGTCCAGACGATGTTGGCAGTTGCAAATATACTGTATTATAGTTTTATATTAAGTAGTAATCATCAAGTGAGCATAAAAATAAAAAAATCTTTATTTTTATAGAATATTCCTAGTAAATATAAAATCAATAAATCTTTATGTACTATATAGTACAACATGAATAATAGTAAAAGAAAATAGAAGTAAAACTAACTTCAATATACGAGCTAGTAATTTAAACTATTTGACTCAACTTTCACATAAAAAGCAACTTCATCCAATATTATGCTCACTATCTTGACAAATTTCATTTATTTCTATAAAAAAAAAATAGATTTAAGATACAATAGAAAAGAAATATTAGTAAAATTACAATTTACAAATAAATAACAACTTGCCTACATTACAATAATGATAATTAGATCCTCGTTATTTGTAATCACTAAGAAACGAGAATAATACCAATTGAAATCTTTTGGTCTTAATCATAATAAGTAATATCTGGCTTCTTGTTGTATAATGTGAAACTTCCACGTGTGTCATCAGTTGTGAACATCGTGGAAGTAATTAAGCGAAATTCAATGGAAATAAAAGTGATAAAATTTTGTAGGTTTGCGAAGTCTAATTTTTATTTTTTGAGGCGTACGGGTGATATTGAAGTTGAATCCACAGTTTGAATAGTGATAAGCAGAGCGAGTCAGAAAAAAAAAATTCATTCCTAAAATTTTATATTAAATTATTTCGAGGCAAAAAAAAAAGGAAATTTTTCTTAATTTTCCAGAATAAAATTTCTTATTAATATTGCCTTAGTCGATTCTCGTCAGTTCACAGTAACGTAAGTCAGATGTACGCTCGACCTTAAATATTTTTATTAGAGAAAAGAACCCTTTCCGTAAATTTTGGCACAAATTTTTTACACAACCGTTTTTTAACGGTCCTTCTTAACTAAAGTCTTTTAAAGAGTTCTTTCATTAATAACAAACTATTTTCCTCAAGAAACACTTTTTTACACAATATTATAAACAAATATACAATCTTTTCTCAGATAACTAATTTATTTCTTTAAAAAAAAGAAAATTATATAAATTTAGCCTATGCAAAATTAAGTATTGCAAGTTTCTCAAAAAATTGTGGCCAAAATTGCAATCAAGTTGCATATTCAAATTTTATAATTTTTGGTTTTAAATTAATAAGAGTGCATGAAATTAAAAATTACATACTTAAAAATTTAACACGTTTAATTTTATTTACAACTCCATTTTTGCTCAATATTTTAATTCTATTTGCTTTGATTTTTTCTGAAGTTTTCTTTTATAAGGAATACATCTTTTATTATAATAAATTTTTATGAAAATTCTCTTATTTATAACTCTTGTACAATACAATTCAAACATAAATAATTATACAACTAATTTATTTAAGAAATATTTTAATTGTTTTTTATTTTGACGTGTACATAATACTTACGTTACGCTTGTTTGTGCATTCATTCCTCTAAATATTTATATATAAATTAATGGTATTGTGTAATTTTTTTTCCTTTTACTTGAAAAATATTTATATCAAAGAAATTTTTTAGTCATTGCATAAAGTTTGATATTTAAGATCACGTGATCTATGTATGATGTGACCTTCGTGGGAGCACAGAGACACAACATTCTTGCACTACGTTACGATGACCATGAGCTCGTTCAAATTAAGAAGTTCATAACTTTATATAACTTTAACGTTTTTACCTTAAAATCATTTTTTTATAATTTTCCTTTTATTATTAAACTTTAAGTATAAACTGAATCAAAGTTTTGTAACAATGTCTAGTAATACTAAATTTAATTCAAATGAGTGGATTGATTGGATTGAAGAAGCTATTGCAAAAAAGCACATTAAATATTACGATTACAAGCATTTTAATAATATTCAAGAAATTGGTTTTGGAAATTTTGGAAAAGTATATCGTGCTAACTGGAAAAGTTTTTGCAATCATTTAGCATTAAAATCTTTCTTTAATTTCAATAATGCTACAGTTAAAGAAATTGTTAATGAAGTAATTATAACTTTATGTTGACATTTTATCATTTTTTTTTGTTTTTCTATCTTTAATTATATATTACGTTTCTAACTTAAAATTTTATTTCAATATTAGATTAATCTTCAGCGCAAAATTGATTTTCATGAAAACATTATTCGTTTTTGTGGCATTACAACAGCAGGTATGATATGTAATTTGAATCATTATTATCTTTTTTTTTTTTGAAAAAAAAAAATAAATCCGAATAATTTTTCTTTTTTTCCTCAAAAGCAAACCAAGACAATAATTCAAAAAAATATTTACTGGTTATGGAATATGCCAATAGTGTTACTCTCCGAAATTATTTAAGTGAACATTTTGATAATCTCACTTGGAACAATAAATTGGAACTAGCATTTCAATTAGCTAATGCTATATCATGCTTACATGATGAAGATATCGTTCATCATGATTTGGTAGGTTAATTTACTTCAGTTATTTACACTTTAATAAATTATACTGTTTATACTGTATAATTATACTAATTTAGTCATTGCATTTAATAATAGCACTCAAATAATATATTAGTTCATAAGAATACCATTAAATTAGCAGATTTTGGATTGTCAAAAAGGATTGAGGAATCATCCAATGTTCAATCAAAATTATTTGGAATGGTTGCATATGTTGATCCACAAGTATTTAATAGCAAAAGGGATAGTAATAATATCAAAATAGTATATTCATTAAATAAAAAGAGTGACATCTACAGTATTGGCATACTCTTGTGGGAAATTTCTAGTGGACGGCCACCTTTTCATAATAAACCACATGATGATGTTGGTTTGGCTATGGAAATTTTACAAGGTCTTAGAGAAAAACCTATTCCTAATACACCTGTAGATTACATAAAAATATACACTGGTAAGTACAATTAAATTAATTATATTAATAATGACAATATTGATTAATTATAAGCTTATTTATATCAGATTGCTGGAATAATGAACCAGATAATCGTCCAACTGTCAACCAGGTTATTGCAAAATTAAATGNAATATTGATTAATTATAAGCTTATTTATATCAGATTGCTGGAATAATGAACCAGATAATCGTCCAACTGTCAACCAGGTTATTGCAAAATTAAATGCAATTATTCCAAAAGAAAATGTTCAATTATCAAGTGAACAGAAGAGTAATGGTGAAGTTCCCAAAAATATTATTGATAATTTATTATACGGAGAAATGTCTCAAATCATTAAAAATTTTAATAAAATGAGTATAGAAGAAATAGAACCTACAATGTCATCAATCAATAACTTTGACATAATAGTTAATGAAATAATACTCCTACTTGATAAAACAAAAATTGTAAGGAAAAAACATGAAGTCATTAATTATCTTAATAATTATAATATAACTTCACAAGAAATTTATGCTTGGTTATTAAATAATCAAAATAATTTAAATTCTGTTTTTTTACTTGGAATATTTAATCACTTTGGAATTAAAGTTAATGTTGATCAACAAAAGGCATTTGAGTTATACCAAAATGTAGCGAATTCAGGAAATGTATTTGGGATAACCAGTTTAGGATATTGTTACAATTATGGAATTGGAACCAGTGTTAATAACAAGAAAGCATTTGAACTATATCAAGAAGCTGCAAATTTAGGAAATTCACGTGGAATATATAATTTAGGATATTGTTATAGTAATGGAATTGGAACTAATATTGATAAACAAAAGGCATTTGAATTATATCAAAAGGCTGCAAATTTAGGAGAATTATCTGGAATATGTGCTTTAGGATATTGTTATGTAAAAGGAATTGGAACTAGTATTGATAAACAAAAGGCATTTGAATTATATCAAAAGGCTGCAAATTTAGGTGAAAGTTATGCTCAATATAATCTTGCTTCGATGTATGAAAATGGAGAAGTAATTAAAAAGAATATAAATCAAGCAACTTATTGGTATGAAAAATCTGCTGAGCAAGGATATCAATATGCTCAAGACAGATTAAATGAATTAAAGAAACATAAATAGTGTATTTTTGTATAATTTATTAACTTTATTTAATAAATTCTATTATGAATTACTTTTTTTTTTAATTATACTAGTGTTCACCCGTTGTCTACGACAACGGTTAATATGTATTAAAATGGCATAATTCCGGCCAGAATTAAAAGATCTGCAAAGAATTTCCTTTTTTGGAAATTCGAGCAACACAATTTTTTTAATTTCTCTGAAAAGTAACAAAATTTCCTTTTTTTGGAAATTCGCGTAACTGGTAATTTCCTTTTATGGAATTCTGTGTAACCCAAAATTTCAGTTTTTCGCCAGAAATAAAATTTCCTTTTTTGGTCTTGTGTAACATTAGCGACGAATAGGAGTAGGGTTACACAATTCAAATGACTTATTTATATGGTTAATCTAAACATAACGCCCACGTGATTGCAGTGTTTTTAAATATATAGATCAGTATGTGATAAAAATGGCCATAATATATGAATAATTTCAAAATTGAAATTACTTACAATAAACATGAAAGCATATGATTTAATAAACTAAAATTCATGTATATTTTTATGTTATTATTAAACCAGTTCTTTAATATTTACAAAAGTAAATAAAATGCAAAAGGTAAGTGAAAGATTTATTAAAATAAGAAAAATAAGAAACTAAATAAAATAATCCAATTAGATATAAATATAACAGCACCACTATGTAAAATGTTTTGTGGAAACTTGGTAAGCCAAATAGTCTCAAAGAAAAGGAATTAAGTAATTGATTCTAATAACTAGTGAGTAATATAGGATTATCAAGACGAACAAAACAGCTCACCTTTTATTAAAAGGAAACCACATTTTTTGAACAAAATTTTAAAAGTTAGTGATTATGATAAATATTTAATAGAATCATTATTATCTTGGCTAGGGATGGCAATGGTTACAGTCATAACCGGTCATAACCGGTTAATAACCATGACCGATATCGGTCAGTCAAAGGCTCTGACTGACTGTTTAACCAACCAGTTTGACTGACCATTTGACTGACCATTTAACTGATCGTTAACCGACCATTTAACCAACCCTATTCATTTAGCACTTTTTTTATGAGCTTAATCAATAAAAAAAGTTGTATAATGTTTTTGTTAGCGGATTTAATCAAAAAAAACTTTTTAACATTTTTTCTTAATTAAATTCACTAAAAAAAATGGTTAAATGGTGTAACCAACGATAATGGACAAGTTATAAAGAATAATAGAAAATTATAATGATCACATGATTGGATAAATATTTAACCAAAGGAAAATATTTAACCGAAATGATTTAGAATAAATGATAGTTTAAAGTTATATAATAGTTATTTATAATTATATTTATTTATAATTATTTATTTTTAGAATAGCTTTATTTATAGTTTAGTTATTATTAGATTAGTTATAATTAGTTTAGCGTGACTCAAAGATTAGATGGAAATAGATGGAATCAGATGGAAAGATGATAATCTATGAGTTATAATTATTCAAGTTGAGTCATAGATTAAAGATAATATTAGAAATGATTTTCTTAAAAATGCATAAATAGGAGAGTAATGATGTGAAATAATGATTAATAAGATAATAATAAGAAGTAATTTGTATGCGACGGGTGGCAGACGTTGTGATAACGGTCAGTTAAACGGTCGGTTAAACGGTCAGAAAAACGGTCAGCCAAAATGGTCGGTCAGTCAAAGACCCATAACCAGTTATGACCAACCGATAACCGACCATTGCCATCCCTAATCTTGGCCTTTTAATCTATTATTTCTAAATAATATATATACTTCTATAGCTTTAGACATAAAATAAAAGATTAATTAATTCCAAATTACTTAAATTCTTAAACTAAAACTCAAGTATTAAATATTTCTCTTGTCTAAAGCATTGTATTTATATAAAACTAACTACAAATTTTGATATAACAGATAAAATGAATATAACAAATATATAAAATGGCCCACTAACTTAACTTATGGAAAAATTAAGGTCAGCTACCAGCAGATTTCAACTAGCATTATAATTTTTCTATTATTTTCTCTTTGATGAAGCAAAAAAACATTTTTTATTGCCAAATAAATATACATTACAACTCATTAAAAAATGGATATAAAATAAGAAAAAATTGTATTGTGAAAGATTGTATTATATAATTCATATACTCACAACAAAATACTTATTTCTTATACTTTCTATATGAAAGACTATGCATTAGAGGGAAAAAGATTTCCTGATATTCTGGTTCAGATAAATTATAGCTAGTAAAATCATCATCTCTTTCAAATAAAAGGAAAAAATCTTGAATTTAAGATATAAGAAGTTGAAGGGATACATTCATTAAAAGTTTCTTAAAAAAGGTTTAAATAATTTAATAATAATATTATGATTTTGTGTTTTCACATAACTTCTATTGACATTTATGAAATTTTCTTGTCTATATTGTAAGAAATTAATGAAAAGATTTGAAGTAAAGTAAGAGGATATTTGTTACTTTAATAAATCAATAATATATTGTTTTATTCTATTTACATTATCAATAACAGATGCTAGCAATAACTTTGGCTGTCTTATCCCATGCACTGCACCATTAGAAAGTAATCATATAAAGTCATTATTTGATTTTGGTAGTCATAAGTTCTAAACTAAAATTTTTCAATTTTAATATGCCAGGTATATTTATAATTACTCAGTATCTTTTTCTTTCTATTTGATAATTATCAATCAAGTAAAGTCAAAAGTCACTAACAAATTTCAGCTTTATCTACTATCTGTTAATTGATTTTATGATTTTATCATTATTCTCTTCAATGTGAGTTCATGATTATTATTAAAAAATACTTTATTATCTACTCATTAAATAAAGATAATCAAGTTAAAGTTTGATGAAAAACGATTTGCAAGAAAATAATATTATACCTTTCTAGATAACTTCTCTTTAAAAAGGAGATTTACAGATTTTTGGGAAATCTTTTGAAGTTTATGATGGCTTTTTGCAATATTAATTTTTTGTACAGTTTGTAATTTGCATTCTTTTATCTGTATTTGTAATATATAGTGTATGAAATAATATTACTACAGTATAATATAAATGTTGATGAAGCCATCAAAATTTGATGAAGGCCAATAAGTTTCAATCTCATCAGATTTATGCTCAAGAAAAAAGAACATATATATAATTAGTTATGTGTTAATTGTTAAACACAAATAGAAAGTATATACTGTATCTAAGATATGAAATAATATTGGCAATTTGGCATGCAATATAGGACCCTACCTTCAGATATTGGGTGCTTTTAGTATTGAATCACTTATATGGACTATAAATGAAATATAGTGATATATGCCTGCCATAGTGCTATTAATCTATTATACCCTTGTAGAAGAAAGTAATCCATGCACTACAATGACTACATGTAGCCATATCATCACAAAATTCATTATATATTAAATTAATATCAGATATTGTATTATACTAGTATTTTAAGTAAATACTTCAAAGTATTTTTAAATATAGTCTATATTCAATAACTACCATTAATAATTCTTTAGTAAGTACTTTAGCATATTTCATAATATAGAAGTTTAGAAATCAGTTTAAAAGTTTAGAAGTTTAGAAAGCTTTGAAATTTAAAAATAATTTTTATACTAGTTTCCATTTAGAATAATTCTAAATTCATTATAAAAGGGCAACTTTAGCCATTATTTGTGAATTCAAAAGAATAGTTATCAGTATTTTATACTTGATTTAAAAATATTGGGCTTAATTAATTTAATAGTTATCAGCTCTTGAGAATATAAATAAAAAGTTCTAAATTAATTATTTTAATTCACACATTAGAAATGGTTTTATATATTTATTTTATATTTTATTAATTAGTAAGTTACAAAAAAAAAGTAATTATATAAGATTGCACATATTTTTATTGATATACTATATTAGATACTATTTTACTAAATAGGGCTTTATTAAACGAAAAATTTTTAACTACTTAATTGGCCCAGCGCTAATTTTTTGCTTGGTGTTGTTCTATAACTATTTTTTTTAGCTTCATCTAAATAAGTATCCAGTTCAGCAAAAATTAATTCACCATCTTTTATTTCTTCATTATTTCGTATGCTGCCATTATTGATAACCAAATCGTTTGTAACATCACGAAAGCTTATAAATAAAAAAAAGTGAAAAATTAGCAATATTATAATTATAAAATCAATAAAATCTTTTGAAAATTTTACTATTTGAGTTTGAAAATGCTACACATGTTTTATTCTTTTGTGGAATTTAATAAAAACAGTTATGATCATTATTAACACGTATCTTTCCAGTAATGATTTGCTTTAACTCATCAAGTTCTATTATTGATACTTTGCTTTTTATTGTTATTAGCTAGATATTTGTTCGCGACATTGAGAACATACTTTCCTTAACTCTTCTCCTTTTTACTAAATAAAAAATTTGCTGCTTTGCTTTTGGAACAACGGCTACAAGTGTATATTCTTCCATTATTAAAATAAAGAAAAGATAAAAATTGTTGAGTATTAACGTTAAAATGAGTCAATATATTGGCAGAAAAAAAGATTATCTATATATTTGATATTCGTAATACAAAATTTTATCGGCAAGTTATTAATAGGGGGATGTTTTATTGGGACATTTTGTAATACAATCAAAATATCACGTGACTATAGCTTTTAGTTACGGTGCTCTTGGGGTAGTTTATAAGACCCACTCGCCCACATGATACTTAACATTACTAGTTTATATTACCAAAACCCAAACACTGATAATATTAAGATTGGATATCTGAAGAAGTAGTACGAGTAAGATCAAAATAAATCAATTTATCTACTTCTTCATTATGATAATATGATAAACCTTTTGAAAATGTCATTCCTTGAACGTCATGACTGCGTAAAAATTCAACTGACTATTATCTTAAAATTAATAATATAATTTGATTAAGAAATAAAAATTATTTAATTTATTACCTAATGTATAATTAGTTGGAGACTTATAGTAATTTTAGATACTGTGTAAGTAGATAATTTTTAATTTTCCATAAAAAAATTTGGATCGGTACTGCAATTAATTATTATACGATCATATTAAAAAGTTACAATATAAAAGATTATATAGTGTTCCCGGTGGTATAACATAAATTTTCAACTGAACTTAAAATAATTTCCTATAGAAAAATGTTTTAAGGCCACAATAGATTCATTTATAGTCAAATTTGATTCACTAGCAACAATATCTTCAAATTCTTTAATTAATTCATTAATTGAGTTTACATTTCTCACTATTTTGTATAATTCGTTAGAAGTGATTTACTAACAGCTAAGATATTTCATTTGTTCTTTTTTTGCATTATAAATAATTGATATAAGAAATTTGAGCAATTATGGTGATAACTCTTTTACAACTAATACAAAATTTTGTATTTCCTTTTTCTTTAACTGTAATTTCATCATCACTCCCTTTCACCATTTCAATTTTTACATCCATCATAACAATGTTGCGATGTACAAGAGGGGATTGTCGTCGAGACATTTTAAATGTAATTGTGGTATTTAAATACTCTTGAAAGAAGTGCTTTGCAAAAATCTCAAAAATTATTAATTGGGAATAAAATACTAGAATCTACTAATAATACAAAGATTCATTCCAAAGATTCATTCGTACAATCGTACTATGTTCACCACCAAAAATTTTAAGCTTCAAGTAGATTTTGATTATCCATTAATATTTTTGAAAAGTCCATTTTTTTATAAAATTGAGCGAAAGTTAAAAAAGAGGATGATCTTAACGCTCACCAGGGGTGAATTCACCAGGGGTAAAATTCACCACAGGTAAAATTCACCAGAAATAAATATTACGTAATTTAAATTTTTATTTTTAAAAAAATAAAAAAACAAAAAAAAAACAAAACAAAAAAAAAATTTTAAAAATTCCAATTTTTAACATGGCATTATATCATCAAAAATATAATAAAAAGTACAATTTAAATGAATAAAAACGTGTAGAATTTTCTCCTCTTTCTAATGAATATTTTATTATGATTATTGAGTAAAAAATGATTAAGTTTCATTAGAAGCAATGAATTAAAAAAAAAATTTTCGGAAAAGACTTCACCCACCTGTGGACAGCAGTTCTTTATATAGATTTTTCTCTTCCCCCTAAAAAACGTATCGCAACATTGTACAATTTCTCGTTCGCTCTAATTAAGTAATACGTAACGCAATTAAATTATTAATTAGTATAATGCGCATATATATATTACTTTATCAACTATTAGATAATCAAATGATCTAACGAACCTATATATATCATGCACTGCATCTTATCGTTACATTAACATCACACTTGCTGTCTTACTCTCTTATAC